ATTTCCTCCTAAAATTTGGAGTTGAGTGTGAAAGTAACCATAGCTTAGAATGGCAGAATAGAAAGATAGCAAGAACCTGGTTCCCTGATGGCATAACGGAGATACCTTAACAGATTTTAGCTGCCTTATTCTGTGTGTCTGTGTAGCATGAGATAAATAAGATCTGACTTGTATAAGCCACTATAAACTACTTCTTATACATAGCTCACCACCATCCTAACTGGTAGTTTGGTTACTAATATTAGGGAGGTACACTTTCCTCTTTTTTGATGTTTTCTGTCACATGTCTGCCAATCCATTGTTGTAATATTCCTGCCTTCTCTCTGTCTTCTCTCATTCTTCAGGGTAAGAGGAGTGTCTTAACCTGATTGGTGAATATGAGGGGGAAGAAATGGGCATGGAGAGCACAGTCCTTTCCTTCTTGTCTCTGGAGCGTGTGTCTCTATGGCTCTCAGGTATGTGATAGCTCTAGTTGTAAAGTCTCATGCCTTCAGGGGAATCTGTAGTTGGGACGATCAGTCTAGTCAAGAAATGGTTAACATTTGGTTCATTAACAGATCATACTGAGAAAGAGAATACAAAAATCTAATTTGGGCATTCAAAATATATCCTTTAGTGTTTTTAAAAAATTTTTTAAAATTATTATTTTTTATTTATTTACTTTCCTGTTTGGAGCAAAGGCAGCATTTTGGCTTTGGTGGCTTACAGAGACTTTTTAATTTTAATTTTTACTCTTTAGTTTTGCTATAGGACATGTGTGCTCACTGGAGAGTGAAAGAGAGGGAAAGTGAGAAACTCCCCCTCCCTAAACACAAGGGTGGATAGCCATGCTATATTCCATTCTCCTCTCAGGATTTTGGGCATGCATGCACAAGTGCCCGGCATGTTTTTCATGCTGCCAGATCTGGCACAGTCAACCATGTGAGATCCAGCCCCTTTAACCACCACTAGGTGGCCCTGAGACTTATGTGGGACCTTCAGGCTGATTTTTTTCTTTGAAGTTTTTGCTACAGGGCATCTGTGATTGCTGGGGAGATAAAGACACACACAGAGGGAAAGTGAGAAATCACTCCCCCAGGGGGATTGCCATGCCACATCCTTTTTCCTCCATTCTACTTTCAGGATTTTGGACACTCATGTATACACCCACATTGTGATTTTCAGGCCTCCAGGTCCAGGACTCAAACCTGTCAGCCATGTAGGAGTCCAATGCTTTAACCACCTGCTGGCCCCTTGAGGCTGTTTTTCATAGTTGTGTAGTTGGGTTTTAATTGTCATGGCTGAATGAGTAGCTTCATTAGGGACTAGGAATATTGACCTTGGTGAATGAATGCAATGAGTGGGTAGCTGTTTTTTAAAGGTAGAGTGGCATATACTGGCTGTGAGCAAATTGCAAGCAAGCCAAAACAAAGACAAGGTCCACATCCAGATTTTGTTAGACTTTAGCAAATCTTAGGGGTCATTCATACTTCAGAAAATATCTAAGTGATCTGACCTCACACAGACTTCAGAGCTGTGAGGAAATTAATTTATTTAAGTCCCCTTTGTATTTTGATTTGTTATTGAAAAATGGGATACTATGGTAAAAAGTACCTTAAAATGTGGAAGTGTCTTTGGAATTGGCTAATGGGTAGAGAGACTAGGTCATCACGGCTGAGCCTGAAGGAAGATAGTTATAAATACCAGCTATGAGTATGTGACCATTACTAAAACAAAGACTGTAACTGTCATGAGTATTTCCTCCTTATTTTGTTGTGATTTATGTGTGTGTATGTAACATCTCTGTCTTTTTCCTCTCTCATTCCTTTATCATGTAAAATAAAAGATATTGATTTTGAGGTCAGCAGGTGGCATGGTGGTTAAGGTGCTGGACTCCCACATGGCTCACCATGGTTCGAGTTCTGGACGTGGTGTCTTGCTTTCTTGCTTTTGCTCTCTCTATGTCTCTGTGTCTGTCTCTGGTGAGCACATGTACCCTATAGCAAAAGTAAAAAATATATTAAAATTAAAGAAAGGCACTAATTTTGTATCATAGTATTAAAATATTGTTAATTTTATATCATAGTATTAAATTATGGCTATCAAGGAGAAGAGTACACATAAAGGGCTTTAACTCCTCTTCGGGGAATGGGTTAGTGCATTTTCAGTTGTCGGCTGGGTAACTGGATTATATTAGGCAGAATTATGACCTTGTTCATTGTCTTTATTTGGAGGTTAATTGATTTAAGAACAAGTGGATATTTGCCAAGTTGACAAGAGTGGACTGAGATGGTTAACTTTATGTATCAACTCGACTCAGCCATGAGTGGCCAGACTTTCAGTCAAACTTCATTCTGGGTATGTCTGTAAGGTTGTTTCTGGATGAGATTTACATTTGAATTTATGGACTGAATAAAGTAGATTGTCTTCCCTAACCTTGGATGGGTGGCCTTCACCCTAAGAGTGGAGGGGTTAAATAGAACACAAAGGCTGACCCTTCTGAGAGTAAGAAGGAACTGCTCTTTCCTGATTGCCTTGAACTGGAACATCTCTCCCTTCTTTCCGGCAGAAACTTAGACATTAGCTCTGCTGGTTCTCAGGCCTTCAGAGTTGGACTGGAACCTTCACCAAAGGATGTTCTAGTTCTCAGGTCTTTGGACTTAGACTGGAATTACACTATTGACTCTCATTGGTACTTGGTTTGCTGATTGAAGCTACTGAGATTTCTTGGCCTCCATAAAATGTGTGAACCAATTCTTTATGACCTCTCTTCCCTCTTTTTCTCTTGGGAATCCTAACAGGTATAAACACTATAAACTATATACCTAGAAGATATCTATAGAATACTCCTTCCAACAACAGAATTTTCTCAAGCATACAGGGAACATAGTCCAGGATAGACTATATGCTAGGCCATAAAACAAGACCCAATAAATATAAAAGAACTGAAGTTAAATAAAGTACGGTGTCTGACCACAGTTTCTAGAATGACAGTTTATTTCATTGGGGAACCAAATGGTGGTACAACATTAATACTCCATGCTCTGTGAAATACTTCACTCACATGGGAAGGCGCTGGGTTCACATCTCAAGACCTCCCTGAGTACACTGGGACTACATACCTATAATCTAGGACTAGCTGAGGTTGTGGGGTAGACTGCTCCACCAGGACCCTACTGGAATTTCTCTCTCTTGTGTGTGCACTCATATATGAAATAAAACAGAAGATTGTTTTATTGATTTATATCTTTATTTTTGAATATAGGCATTAGCAGTAATAAAACTTCCCTCTAATCATCACTTTAGCTGTATCCCATAAGTTTTAGTATTCTGTTTTTATTTTCATTGATCTCAAGCTATTTTCTAATTTCTCTGATTTCTATTTTGAACCATTGGTTATTCAGGAGTGTGCTGTTTACTTTTTCTTTTTGTTGGAGAGGTTTTCGCTACAGGGCGTGTGCGCTCGCCAGACAGACAGAGAGAGACATAGAGACAGAAAGTGAGAAATTACCCCCCAGAGGGGATAGCCACACCACAATGCCTTCTCCTCCATTCTCTTCTCGGGATCTTGGGCACGCATGCACATGCGCCCAGTGTGAGTTTAAGCCACCAGGTCCAGGACTCGAACCATGGTCAACTACATGGGAGTCCAGCGACATAGCTATTATACTAACTGCTGTCCCGCTGTTTAATTTTTATATGTCTGTTAATTTTTCGAATTGGAGAAAATCTCAATAGAGCTATAATAAGTAGAAATATCTAATTAATAATAATAACAATAATAATAACTATTCACAAACAAAAGCCCAGAATCAGAAGACTATACTAGGTATTTCTATCAAACACTGAAACAAGAACTGATACCAGTTCTTCACAAATTCATCCAAAAAATAGAAGAGTGAGATCACGTTCCAAATCATTTTATGAGGTCAGTATTATTTGATATCAGACCGAACAAAGGAATCACAAGAAAGGAAAACTATAGAGCAATATCTCTCATGAATTTAGACATAATCCTCAATAAAACACTAGCAAAAATAACCCAGTAAAACATCACAAGCCTATATACCATCCTCAGGTATGATTTAGCTCATAAGTATAACATTGACTTAAAATTTCAAAAATTAATTAATGTAGTGCCATCAATAGAATAAGAAAAAAAAGAACACATTACCATCTCAAGAGGTAGAAGAGCATTTGACAAAATCCAATACACCTTTATTTAAAACCTACTCCCAAACTGGAAATAGAAAAAGAACCTAACTAATATCCAACTTAAAAATGAACAAAAAGTTTGAATGGACAGTTCTCCAAAGAAGATGAACAAATTAATAAGCACATGAAAAGATGCTCAATATCACTAGCCATCAGGGAAATGTAAGTCAAACCCAAAATGAATAACTACTTCCTACCTCCTAGGCTGGTTACAATAAACATAGATAATTGAAAAGAACAGCAAGTAAAAAAAAAGACTTGATGTCAGAATAGTTTTAGACATACAGAGAAGTTGCAAATTCTACCTTGTCCATAGATAATAATGCCCTTGTATCTATCTGACTCAAAGAGAAGATAATTCTACTCTTTCAGTTTTAATGGCCTAAAGTTTTTTACACTCAGCCTTCCATATTTACGGGCACAAGTTAAGCTTCTCTTTCCAAAGTCTGCTATAATGCCATGTGACTGGGCCAGGAGAGTTTTCCAGCATTATCCACATGTCATCCTGAAGTCAATATCTTACACTTGCTGATTTATATTCTGGCTTTAAAGAAAATAAAATGTGATTATATTATTTTTTCCTATGGAAAAACTTCCCTGTTAAATTCTCTCCTCTCACCCCCCCCCCTTATTTTTTCTTGAGAAAGAAAGAAATATGGGGATCAGTCAAAGGCATAACGGTTATGTCGCTGGACTCCCACATGGCTGACAGCAGTTCAAATCTTCAACCCAGTGGTTTGAAACTCACATCCAGTGTGTGCTTTATCCACAACACCATGTATACTATCCTATTATTTAAAGTTGGCTTATTTCCTGGGCACATATTTACTCAAGCTAAACACTCTCTGGAAGCCTGCTCTCAGATCCTGGGTCCTAAGAGCATATACCATGGGGTTAAGGGCAGGGGGCATGACAATATGCAGCACATTGAGGAGAACAGGGATGAGGGGAACCCTTCTTCCTGCCAGATGTGTGACAGATACTACAATAATAGCTGTATAAAAAAAGAGAATCAGGATGAGGTGGGAGCTGCAGGTACTCAGGGCCTTAGATGTTGCTTCAGCAGAGTTCAGTCTCGACACCGAATAAATAATCAAAGCATAGGAAGCAAAGACCAGACCCATGTCACTTCCAACCACAACCCAGACCAAGGCCAGCTGGTAAAACCTGTTAATGGTTATGTCATCACAGGCCAGACTGGAGACCCCTAAGTTAGAGCACAGGCAGTGGTCAATCTCATTCCTGAAGCAGTAGTGTCTTTGGGCAGCCAGTACAGGTACTGGGATGGTCAAGAGGCCATTCCTAAGAACCATGAACACTGTGACTTTGATTACAAAAGCGTCAGTGACTATAGAGGGATACTGGAGGGGGTAACAAATGGCCACATACCTGTCTATTGCCATGCATAGGAAGATGCCTGACTCCATACACATGAAAGAGTGGATGGCATAGATTTGAGCAAAACACTCGTGGAGGCCGATGGCCTTGGCATCAAACCAAAGGATGGCCAGAATCTTAGGCATGATGGTGGTGGCCAGACCAATGTCTACTATGGCCAGGATAGCAAGGAACTGGTACATGGGCTGGTGCAGGGTTGGCTCATGGTGAATGGTGATCATGATGAGGATGTTGGCAGTGAGTGCAAAAAAGTAGAGCAGAGCCAGGGGCAGGGAGAGCCAGTGCTGCCAACTGTGAATGCCTGGGAGCCCCATCAGGATGAACTCAGACACCTGAAACCCTGAGGTGTTGGTTATACTCAGGGCGACTTCCATGTCATCAGATGTCTTGTTCTCAGCATCTGCCTATGGATTGAGGGATAACAGAACAAAACTGTGATTAGTTCAATTGAGGTTCAAAATATGTGGAGAGAAATAAAGTTTATCCACACTAATTTGGTCCATTTTTTATTTTTTTTTGAGAGAGATATTTTTGCTATAGAGAACTTGTGCTCACTGGAGACACATACAGACAATAAATGAGAAATCACCCCCTTTGGGGGGGGGATGACCACACTGCAATCCCTTTTCCTCCATTCTCCTCTTAGGATTTTGGGCACACATGCCCCGTGTGTTTCAAGCCTCCTGATCTAGGACTCCAACCACGGTCGATCGTGTCGGGAGTTCAGTGCCTTAACCACTATGCCACTTGCTGGCCTCTTAGTTCTTTTTTTAAACACAATGTATCCTTGATCTTCTTGTACCCTTAGAAAAGTTCACATGAAATCAGTTGGGCCAAACAAGATTCTAAAATAAACATCATAGTAAAGCAGGAGTGAAGATTTACTAACTTGAAAAAAAATTCTAGGTGGATTTTTATTAAGGGAAACATGGACGGATGTAAAGGCAGGAGACACGAACATTATAAAGAGCCTAATGTTCAGTAAGCAAAGTTAGAGTACAGAGATGTTGTCTCCATGTGTGGAGATCTTTAGAAAGACCATAAGTGGCATAATAGAAACTCACACTGTTTTTCTTTTCAATAGAACCTGTGGTTGGCAAGTGGTTTCTGACACAAACCATCTCATTTAATCTTTACCATTAAGCTGGTGTTATTCACATATAAGAAAAGAGGTTGAATGAGTAGTTTCGATGAGAGTCATAGATTGAAAACACTCATATGTGACTAAACTACAACAAAAAAGTAGTCTTTTGCATTTAATTTCAGGGTTCCCTGCATCAAATTGTAGCCAAATAGGTCAGTACTTTTAGGAATACATTTGATTGCACTATAATTATGAAAATGATGTTAAAGTCATATTTACAGCTATATTTTTAAATGATCAATTTTACTAACAAAAGATGGGAGGAGGGAAAATTACCAGAATACTTCCAAATTTTTATGGGAAATAATATGGTGTTTGTTGAATACATTTAGAATTTTTTTTTTGTGTAAGTCATTTTATGGCTGATTCTTGGCCCTTTAACACTTGGTCATTCTTCATCGTTTGTTTCGTTCATTCTTGAATTATTGTACCAAGTAATTGTACCAAAAAGTGTACGTGGACACTACGGTTTAAAAGTTCTGAGTATTTGAGAATTCTTTTTGTTATCTTTATCCACAAGTAATACTCTGTCTTGTCAAACATTCAGATATCAATATGACCTTTCTCAAATCTCTGCCTTTGCTTCATTTTATGGTATTAAGTGTAAGATAAGGCCCATTCTTACTATCTCTAATAAGAATATATGAATGTGATTTTTATTGATATTAGTAGAATATATTATCCATTAAATTGATAAAGAGAATAAAATAATAGCTGTTTTAGGAAATGAGAAAAAGAAAAATGACTGTAAATCAAAATCCCAACAAAAAAGGTAACAATTTTTACATTAAAAAAATTTAATTTCGGGATCAGCAGTTAGCGTAATGGCTATGTCACTGAACTCCCATGTAGTCAACTGTGGTTTGAGTCCTGCACCCAGTGACTTAAACTCACACTGGTTGCGTGTGCGTGTGTGCCCAAGATCCCGAGAGGAGTATGGAGGAGAAGGGATTGTGGCGTAGCCATCGCCCCTGGGGGTGATTTCTCGCTTTCTGTCTCTCTGTCTTTCTGGTGAGCGCACTGCCCTATAGCAAAAGCTTCTCAAAAAAAAAAAAAATCCAATTTTTAGCATTTTTCTTTGCAATCTTCTTATACAGTTGAAATTTTATGTAAACAGAATGTTAAATCCTGTGCTTTTCTTTCTTAAAGTTTTTGCCAGAGGGTGCATAACACTCATCAGAGAGAGATAGACAGAGAGAGAGAGAGAGAGAGAGAGAGAGAGAGAGAGGAAAGTGAGAAAGCACCCCCATGGAGCATGGTCACGTTGTAATCACTTTTCTTCCATTTTTCTTTCCTTTTGGGATTTTCAGGCATGCTTGCACACTTGCCTGGCATGTTTCTCCAGTCACTGGGTCGTCCAGGACTCAAATTCGTGAGCTGTGTGGGATTCAGTCACTTTAACCACCAGACCATGGTATGGCCCCTATGCTTTTTCTTAATGTAGAACATATACATTTTCCAATTTCCTGGGTAATTCTTTATACACATTTTAACTCTCTCTAAACATTCTCAATGACCACTAAATGTTATACAATGGTTTTATAACATTTTCCCCTAAGTATTGTTTGGTTTCTCTCTCACACACACACAAACACACACACACACACACACACACACACACTACATAAACACAAATACTCAAATTTATGCATAGTTTACCTTTAAAAATTATATTTACATTAATACTGTTTTATTTCCTTTTCTTCTTTTATCTTTAATCTTAAATAGTATTCTTAATAATCTAGAATTTATGGATGGCTTTTCTAGGAATCTGTGAACTTCTTAAAGTTATAGAGAAACAGTTTGCATATATTCACATCATTCTGGGGAGACTATCTATTTAGCATTTATTAAATTTTAAAACATTCCAATATTTAAATAAGAAACTATTTCAGAATATCATTCATTATTCAGTATTTTGACCAATTCTTACTTTCCTATGACTTTTTATTTCAAATAAATAACCTTTTGGTTTTGCAACACAACTTTTTGCCATGAAAGTAATTTTGATGTTAATGAGAAGCAAGTAAATACTCTGATAAACAGAAGAGCTTTTTTTTTAGAATTATTTATTTAATTTTATTTATTCATTCACTTATGTTTTAATTTGAGTGCACGCGCCCTATAGCAAAAACCTCTCCAAAAAAAGAAAAACAAAAAAAAAGAAAAAAAAAAGAAAAAAAAAAAGAAAACAAGCCACCAGGTCCGGGATTCAAATTGTGGTTGGTCACGTGGGAGTGTCCTGCACCTTAACCACCATGCCACCTGCTGGTCCCCCAGAATAGCTTTTATATTTCTCATTAAGTTATTATTATGCCTCCTTTGTTGTTTAATGAATTCTTACACATTTAAAATTCCATTTCTGGGACACTATTGTTTTTATATCTTTCTTATTATTTTGGTATCAATATAAAATGAACTAAAGTTATATTTTATAATAAATTTAATACACAATAGTAATATTTTTCTTTCAAAATTCTTTTAATGTGTTTACTTTCCAAATTAACCTTAGAATTCCTGTGTTGAATCTGAAATAGTATGTTTTTGGTTTGGCTTGTGTTCAATCTGTAGATACACTTAAAAAAATTTTGTCTTTATAGTATCAAATGTTCTCATTCATAAATAAGATCATCTCTGACTTTATTTAAATCTTAAAAAATTCATTAAAATGTTATACTTATTGTTCTTATGATTGCTAGTATTTTGAGATGTTTTTAGTTGGTATACATATATATATATTTTACTGTATTCCAATGTATATTTACAGTATTTAGGAACCACTGGATTAAATTTTTTAGTGACAGTATATTAATTTTTGTTATTTCCTCTTGTGTCATCCAGTTTGCTAAATTTGTGCTATTTTAAAATGTCCTGTGATTAAAAAAAATCAACCAATTTACTTTTGCCAAGAAAGCAGATATCTTGTACTTATTATTTTATATATTGGAATCAGTTTTTATTATTTTGTCTTGCATATCATCCATTTAACTAAAGATTTCATGAACTCATTATTGGTTTTTTTTTTTGAGAGATTTTTATGATAGGGTGTGTGCACTCGCCAGAAAGACAGAGAGAGACAGAGAGACAGAAAGCGAGAAATCACCCCCCAGGGAGGATAGCCATGCTGCAATCCCTTCTCCTCCATTCTTCTCTCGGGATCTTGGGCATGCACGCACACGCGACTGGCATGAGTTTAAGCCGCTGGGTCTGGGACTCGAACCGTGATCGACTACGTGGGAGTCCAGCAACATAGCCATTACGCTAACTGCTGGTCCCGAGCTTTCATGAATTCTTAAAGATTTCCCATTGACACTCTTTTATTAAACTTTTCCCCTAAGTATAACAAAGCATTGCTTGCAAGCAATAATACTCTCCTTACAAATATTGATATTTCTTAATTTTTGTTTCATGTCCTGTTGAAATGTTGGAAATTCATGATTGATGTAAAATAATTATAATGACAAATATTTTTGAGTAGTTGGTTGAGTTTAATTGCCATTCAGCTGGAATTTACATTAAATATGATGTCTTACTTTTCAAGTTACATGTCTTTTATCACATGTAATAAAATAGACTATTGTTTTGTACTCCTTTTTGTTCTGGGTATCTAGGATGTAGAATGTATTCCTGTAGATTACTTACTTTATCATTTATTCACTGACCATCTTAGAGTTCAACCTTAGTTCTCTCCAGTGTCCTGGTCATAGATCTTAGTTTCTCAATGTGAAGAACTGAAGAGAAAGGAAGTACTGAAGGTGAACAATGCAGGAAAGCTGGCCCTGGAAACCAAAGATCAGAAATGAATCAATTTCAGAGATCATTATGGAATTGAGGACCTGGGCCACATCTGTCCTCTCACGTTGCAAGGTGCAGGTCATTGACTGGGTTACTTACATTCCAGGAGGGACTATGAAGAGACCCTCAGGCTGGCAATGTCTTCTCTAGCTGCTTCTATTTTCCTGGGTTCATCTGTCTACATTTGGTCTTCTGCTTTTCATCATAGAGCCCTGTTTTTGCTCGATACTCCTGGAGTTGGGTTTTTATGTCAACTGGACCCCTGAGATGCCTGGTCCTGGTTTGCTGCTCTCTAGCCTCTCCCTCCCTGCTCCCACTCTATTCTGAGCATCCTCTAGGGCCTAATGTTTTTAACACTGCATTGGGAATGGGACCCAAGGGCTCTTTGGGGTTATAAAGTATTTTCTGAGAGTACACATTTAGCCCTGGCCCTAGGTGTAGTTCACCAGTAGACAGCTGTTCACCCCAGGCTCCTCAAGCATTAATCTGGCCATGTGTGATGAATAGTGCTCCCATTACAAGATGGTTCCGAAGTCTCCCTATGTCAAAATATATCATTACTCCATACCCCTCCCAGAGACTACGCCTATCTATTCCCACTTCACAAGCTTTATAAGTCCCCTTTCTCTGTATTTTATGTCCTCTTCTTCACTTCTGAATTTTTTTTTTTCCCATTTCCCTGTGCAACTCTCTTCAGTGCCAGCAGCCCACAGGCAGAGACTAGGCAATGGTTTGGGGCCAGTTTGCTCTAGCATGGGACACTATGAGAGGCCCAGGGGGATGGACCTGCCATAAATCCAAACCCACGCATACTTCTGAATTTTTTTTAATTCACTGCAATTTACTTTTGTGTCAGCATCACACAAAAATTGCTCTTGCTAATGACTTTAATTTCCAAAAATAAAGGATGTATTTTAGAATTTACCTTAGCAGAATCCTCTTTAGTATCTGTCTATGTTGAACAGTTCCATGTTTTAGGACCACTTGTCTATCTCGTCTATAATAATATTATATTGTTAATATTAATTAAACTAGATCAAAAGTTAGATAAAAATAACTTCTATGGTAGAAATGTCAGTCTTCTCTGGGGAATGTTCTCTGTTATAGTTTTCACCAATCAGCCTACCCGAAAGAATGGGTTTAGTCACGGTAATAGAAGAAATAAATGAAAATAACAATATGGTGGGATGGAGTTATAGCCACTCTGTGATTAAAGAATATATTCATGTTGTGGTTTGAAATAAACCTTGAGTGACTGAATAATAAAAGGAAGTGCAGTATGATATTTTATTAGGGAAAGCTTTATTAACTCAGAAAGGGAAAATTTACCAACTGATATGTTGATGCTAATCAGAAAAATACTCTTCTAAATTTAGAGGTGGACTAGAATCTATGAGAAAATGTTGCAATCCCTTTCTGGAGCAGTCTTCTTGGGTTCCTGGTACAAGGGGTCATGAGGCTATTCCAGGGATGCTAGGATGGAAATAAGTATAGAGAGGCAGATGCAATCCACTGACTTCTTTTGAATCTCGAGATTGTTGTGTTTGTCAACAGTGAGAGTAAAAGCCTTAAGGCCATTATGGGCTACTATCTAGATTGATAGAAAACTATAAGGTGGGTTTTATTGGCCTAAGAGGGCCCTTAACAGTTCCTGATCAGGATAGGCAGAAGTCTTCTATTTTAATTTGTATATGCAGTAATCGAAGCAAGTGGTTCAGATGTCATGAGAGATTAGAACAGAAAATATTTAATTTGGATGGTTTGTTTTTATATTCTTATATTGAAGGACCCACATGATTGCTTTATGTTATAAACCCTGAAAATGTAGGGGGTCAATCTATTGCCTGGAGAAATTAGTTGATCTAATAGAAATAGAGGGAATTGGATGCTTCTATAAATGGAGGCAAACAGACTATGTTCCAGTCCAGTGGGTTCTGAGTTGCTTCTGTATTTCAATGCCTAGTAGAAAATTTAATGAAGTCAACCAGAATAGGGTGGGATAACTGGGAATTGAAGACCTTTGAGAATGAGCATTTTGGTCTCTTCATTAGGTGTGGCAGAGGTGGTAGAGATATGGTAGATATCAGTTATATCTTTGTGATCTGTTTTACAGAGATGACAACTATTGTAATTTGGGGTTTTTTTTTTTTTTGCTTTTTTATATGTATACATTTATAATAACCATTTTCTTCCTTTTTTTTTTTCTTTCATTGTTTTACAGAGATGACAACTATTGTAATTTGATTTTTTTTTCTTTTTTATATGTATACATTTATTTCTACATAATAACCATTTTCTTCCTATCTTTTCTTTTTCTTTCACAGAGATTTTTGTTATATGGTGTGTGGGCTTGCTGGACAGACGAGACAGACAGAGACAGAAAGTGAGATATCACCCACCAGGAGAGATGGCCACACTGCATTCCCTTCCCCTTCATTCTCCTCTCAGGATTTTGGGCATGCATGCACATGCACTTGGCATGAGTTTTAAGTTGCTGGGTCTGAGGCTTGAACTGTGGTTGATTACGTGAGAATCCAATCACATAACCATTATGCCACCTGCTGGTCCTGTCTCTTCCTATCTTTTAAAATACTTATTTTTCTTTTGCTTTCTTTATTCATGAGAGAATAGAGATATATGCACCTGGGAATGAGAAAGAGAAAAAGGGGGGGGGAGAGAAAGAGAGAGAGAGAGGAGAGAAAGAAGAGAAGAGATGAGAAGAGAGAGGAGAGAGAAAAGAGAGAAAAAAGAAAAAAAGAGAGAAAGAGAAAGGAGAGTGCTCTGCAGGATTCGGTACAAAGTAATCTTGTTCTTTCAGTGTTCAGTCAGATGGATCCATGGCACTGGTGAATTCACCTGGCATATTTTATGCTGATTGGGCTGGGGATTCAAGCCCCTGTTACCATTTGAGATCCAATTTCCCTTCGCAGTGCATTACCACTTTACCATGGAGCCATCCCTCTCTCCTACTGATTTTCATTTTAATACAAGTTATACAAGTTAAGTTTAAAATTTAGCTTCTAGGCAACTGAATACTTAAAGGTAGCCTGTATTTGAGAAATAATTTATATTTTTAATAATGCATACAATGACTCAGCATTGTCCATCTTGTTCCTTTGGGGAAAGGGTAAGAATTCCTTTACTTTAGAACCAGTAGATGACGTAATAGCTACGTTGCTGGACTTCCATGTAGTTGACCGCGGTTCGTGTCCCAGACCCAGTGGCTTAAACTCACACCAGGCTTGTGTACATGTGTGCGCAAGATCCCAAGAGGAGAATAGAGGAGAAGGGATTGCAGCGTGGCATCCCCTGTGTGTGTGTATGTGTGTGTGTGTGGGGAGTGATTTCTCGCTTTCTGTCTCTCTGTCTCTCTCTGTCTTTCCAGCGAGCACATGTGCCCTCTAGCATAAACCTCTTAAAAAAAAAAAAAGGGAAGAATTCCTTCACTTTTAAGTATCAGATTGTTTTGTTATGTGAGAATTTAAATGTGCATAAAAGGGTGCATATAGAAACTTAAGATACTAGGGTGTTGTAAAGCTAGAAAGAAGGTAAACTGAGTTAAAGTATGTAAAGCAAAGTTTATATAAATATGCACTGCAGCTAGCATGTAGTCCACATAACACATTTAGGTTGCTCTGAATATGCTTACTTAGCTTTTAAAATATTGAAGCTGATTTTAAAGGCAAAAACCAGTAGTGGGAGGGGATGTTGGGGGAGGGTTATTCCAGTTGTTGTTTTGGGGTAATTATCCTTGACTTCCAGGATCAATACCAAGGGTGGCATTGGTCCAAGATTGGAAAGGCAGTCTCTGGATATATGTCCCTATAGACATGGTCCTGATATCAGATCACAGTGGTCTTTATGTAAGGTTGTGGTTCTGGCAAAGACCTTTCTTGTCATGCAAGCACTGGAGAACACCACCTCTCTGACCTTCCCAGCCTAGATTTATTCACAGTTGTCATAAATAATTCCATTTTGATTCCAGTATACATTCAAAGTGAGAATCGTGCTGGTAATTAATTGATTTATTACATCTCAATAACAAATTTATCCTTTATGCCTGATCTATGGAAATGGGTTTGGGCCCTTTAAGTATTAGTCTTACTAACTAGCATGTTGCTAAACTTTGTCATTAGAGGATGCTGGAGAGATATTGCATGAAAAAAGTCTCCCCCCCCAATGGAAGTAAAATTCATGTAATATAAAATTCACATTTTAGCCATTTAAAAGTATTGATTAAGTGGATTCCAATATATTTACAGGCTTGTGCAAACAAAGCCTCTAATTCCAGAATGCTTTTATCACCTCTAAAAGAAACTTTATTAAGCAATCATTCCTCATTTCCTCTTTCCCCAACCCCTGAAATCTGCATTCTGTGTGTATGGGTTTGCATATTTGGACATTTGTTATAAGTGGAACCATACAAATATGTCCTTTTCTTCCTTGCTCTTTCACTTAGCAATGTTTTCAAGGTTCATCTGTGTTATAATATATGTCACTCCTTTTTCTAGCTGAATAAAAAAGCAATTATATGAACATAAAAAATTTTGTTTATTCATCAGTTGAACATTTGGGTTGTTTTAATTTTTTTTGCTATGGTAAATAACACTTATATAAACCTTTATTTGTAAATGTTTTTGTGGCATATACTTCCAGTTCTTTTGGGTATATACCTAGGGTTGGAATTACCAGCTCATATGATCATGCTATGCTAAATTATTTCAGAAATTGTCATGTTTCTAGTAGTAGCTGCACACTTTCCAGTCCACCTGCAGTGTGTGAGGGTTTTTGTTTCTCTACATCTTCACCAACACTTATGGGTGTCTGTTTTATTATAGCTGTCCTAGTGGATATGATGTGGTATGTTATTGTGATTTTTAAAAATAGATCACAAATTAGTTTATTTTTAATGCCCATCATGCCAGGAATTTATAGGGAATAGGATCCAGTAGCTCAGGCTCCTTTCCATTGGTTCTCACAAAGTGCTTCTCTGGGTGGAGCAGGCTGGCGCTTCAGTTGAACCCAGGTACCTTTCTCTTTGGCTTCCTTCTTTTTCTGGTCATTTTCCTTCACACGTTTTAGGAAGCTATCTCTGCTCTTAGAATGCTTAATATGCTCAATATCCACATTCATTCTCTTGGCAAGAATCTTGCACTTAACTTATTTGTTTACAACAAGGCCAACAGCATGCTGGGTAACATTGCAGACTCTTCCAGTTTTGCCATGGTTACATTTGTGGGGCATTTTTTTTTTGAACAGTACCCATTCTCTTAATGTCTACAATATCACCTTTCTTGTAGATTCGCATGTATGTTGCCAAAGGAACAACTCCGTGTTTTGTAAAAGGCCTAGAGAACATATATCAGCTAGAGAACGTTTATTGGGTGCCTCTCCTCTTTTCCCTTGTGTTCGTCATTTTGGTTAATTACTGGAAGATGGAGGTTCCGGCCAAAAGGAGGTATGTTATTGTGATTTTGATTGATATTTTCCTGATGACTAATTTTTGTTGGGCATCTTTCCATGTGCTTATTGGACAAGGGCATGTATTCGTTGGAGAAAAGTTTCTCATTTCTTTTGTCCATTGTAAATTGGGCATATTTATTTATTTGGGTTGGTTCTTTTTCCATTGAGCCAAAATACACACACACTTCCCTTGAAAACAACATTTGTTGAGATTTCTTTTCTTTTCTTTTTTTTTTTTTTTCTGGTTCATTTTAGTTCTTTGTCAGAGGCTTCTGGAAGCTCACTGAAAGTATCCTCTTCCTTAGGCATCTATCTCTTCTCTAGTTTCAGTGGCTGCTTCTTTTTC